CTGTTAGCGACCGAATTACGGGGCTCCAACAAACAGACAGTGCAACCATTGAGTAACAATTTGTGACGCAGAGACGCACCAGATGATTGCCAGTGTGCTGGGAGGTCCAGAGAGATAATAATGTTGTAGGGTTCAAAGAAAGTGGATAAGCTACCCACAGTGAGCCAATGGCCCTTGCATAAGATCACAAGATTGGTTTGAATGAAGAAGGCCTTTGGGCACCATTTGATCTCTTCCTGCCACATGTCCATTCTGCCATCCTCCCATGGTTGAGCTTTTTTTTTTAAACGAGTCAAGAAGCCTGACCTCAACCGTGCTTCCTAATAACGTTTTCCAGTCATTAATTACCCTCTAAGGTGAAGAAATATTTCTGACCTGAAATTGCCTTTTGCTGATCTAAACATACGGCCCCTTGTTCTACTGTCTCTGTGCATTCAAAAGTGTTGTTCGGGGGTTTGCCTTTTCAATCCTATTTAAAATCTTAGTTACTTGTATAAGGGCTCCTCTGACTTGTCAAGACTGAAGACTATCTTGTCTAATCTTTGCTCATAACTCATTCCTCTAACACCGGGAATCATCTTCATTGCTTTCTTGTGCACAGCCTCAAGAGCCTGGCTTTAAATTTAATAACAAACCTATACATAATGTTTGTATAGGAGTTCCAACAAAGAATTTGCTAAACTCAGTTAATTCCATCCCTTTGCACATCAAGAGAGCTGCATTATTGTATGCTAACCTTCAGTTGCTAAATTATCTATTCTCATGGATGCTAAAAATTTAATACAAGTACTTTAAAGAGAATGAGGGAATGAGCTCTTTGTACTGGTACATATTCCGCTCTCATCCAAAAGCAAATTAATTTATCATTCATCTCTTTGCAGAAAATTGATGGTGCAGATAACCTGCCATTTTTGCCTACATTTCAACATGACATAATTGTGTAAAAGCATTGAGATATTTTGATAAGTTATATCAAATGCAAATATTATATTTATAAAAAAGGACATTTTTCTAATTGTACATCCTCCCCAAACTAAGCAGCTAATCTCTATAAATACGTATGGATATAATGCACATTGTTTTACTACGTTATTTATTCCTCACAATATATTCCAGACATTTGGCATTAAAAATTCATTACTTTGTTTCTAAACCTGTCATTATTTTTTCCCTTAAGTAAATAATGGGTATCACATCAGAATTTATAAATATGAACTGTATATTTAAAGTTAACTACGTTATTTTTTAAACAATATGAAGTGAAATCAACAATATCCTATGTTTGCTATGTGGGAAAACATAAATATTATTTATTTTTTGATAAAGAGTCTCTCTGATTGTTGACTATACTGTTTGCAGTGTTCTGAGATGCTATCCTGCAGGAAGCGTGCTATATAAATGAAAGTTGTTGTTGTTTGCTGCTTGCATTATTTCTCACATCTCCGTCCAATGCCCTGTTTCTTGTTATATCAGTTCTTCATTCAGCATCATATAGAAGGGTTTCTTGCAGTGTCCCCCTCCCTATCCAGCTCCCCGCAGACAGATCCCACTAAGCAGGTTGCATAACTTCCTGGAGCCTTGTTGTCCCACAGGATGTTTGGTTTCTATTTTCCTCAGTGTAGTCCTGTAATAAGATCTTGCTACATCAAGAGCCAAATTTAGCTTTTCTTCCGCAATGTGCCAAATCAAACGGTTCAAAGCGTCTCTCCAATTGGTTTAACGTAGGTATCCAAAGAACAAAAGAAATGTTGCACAAAGCAAATAAATTCATCGGAAATATGAGACAATCCAGCATTGCTGCTAACATCATTCATATTGTTTTGTGATGCGACATTGTAGACAAAGTAAGGTTTAAGGAAGATAATTTCTCCAAAACACCAATCAATGAAACTAAATTTACTGAGTTGAGATTATCAACAGCTTTAAAGCCTAGTTCATGTTTGATGTTTACCACAGGTGCTCTAAAGCCTCCCACCAATAATTGTGGCCAACATTATTTAATTGAATCTGCCTCTAATATTTGATTCCATTGATGGTTTTAATATACTCGTAGTTTACAGCTATGTTAACTCGTGTCAGAAATAATAATATAATTATAATCCTCATATTTGTTGTTGAGTTTATAACATTGAAAAGCTAGGTGCTTCAGAAGTAATTGCTGTCAAGTAGAGCAACAGTATATTGTAGGCAAAATGTGCCATTGTAAGCTATTGACACATACAAATAATATATAGGTATTGTTGAATTACTAAAGTAATTAGATTTGTTTTGAAAGAAGAATGTCGAGACGCCTCAAAGCGCTTCACAGGATATACTGTAAAATGGATTGACTGTGTATTTTGTGGGCAAAATGCAGCAGCCAATTGCACACAGCAATATTTGCTTAAGATTTGAATGACCAATTTTGGGAGGGCATAGAGTTAAAGGGGAGGTGGGGGGGTGGGAAAGACTAAAGTAATAATAATAATCCTTGCATTTGATATAGCACCTTGTTATGTCTTCGATACGTATCAAAGCGCTTCACAGAATATTCTGTAAGTCAGTTGACTGTATTTTGTGCGCAAAATGCAGAAGCCAATCTTGGATTGAGTGACCAGATTATTATTCAGGTTGAACTATTATTAAAAAATAGATTATCATTATTTAAAAGTAAGGTAAATGCAAGGGATGTATATTTTGCCCACTAATTATACAGTCAATTCACTTTTCAGTACAACTCTGCATTCAGTGGGCTCCTTACTTCCACTTGTGCTAGTTGTTGAATTAACTTCATACAATGGGATGGGGAGAGGGAAGCTACGTTGTTATTCGTACGTACCAGGATTCCAAGTGGTATTGACAAGGGCATAGAAGCTCAGCTCCAATGATCATTTTAGATGGAGAATACATTAAATATGCTGGGAAATTCCCACCTCCTGATAGTATTCCCTTGCCGTTTGTCCCGGGAGAGCAAGATAAAAAGCGAGAGAACATCAGTGAATCCCAGCTCTGGCAATAATCCACAGCTGATCTGTATCCTCTGTGTGATGGGAAGCCAGTGGAGTTGGACAAGGATGGGGGTGATAGGATCGCGGAGCCGAGTGTGGGAGAGGACACGGGCTGCAGAGTTCTGGATGATCTGCAGCCTGTGGAGGGAGGAGTTGGAGAGGCCGACAAGCAGTGAGTTTGCATAGTCGAGCCTCGATGTAATGAAGGCGTGTATGAGGGTTTCGGCGGCCTGTGGTCTGAGACAGTGTCGGAGCCGGGCGACGTTGCGGAGGTGGGGAAGGCAGAGCAAGTCATGGCGCAGATGTGGGGTAGAAAGGATAGTTGAAGGTCAAACAAGACCCCAAGGTTCTGGACTGGCTTAGCAAGGTGGAGTGTGCAACCATGGATGGTGATGCTGTCAGCGCCTGAGGTGAAGAGCCACTGACAGGAGCCAATCAGGAGAGCCTTGGCCTTGTTCACGTTCAACTGAAGAAAGTTAGCTCTCATCCAGGACTTGATGTCTGACAGACATACTGTCAGCACAGCAGTGATCTTGGAGTCAAGGGTGGAGGCAGAGAGTTGAGTGTTATCCGCATACATATGGAGGTTGACCCCATGTCTGCGGATGATGTCACCAAGTGGGAGCATATAAATGTTGAAGAGGAGGGACCCAAGGACAGAGCCCTGAGGAACCGTTCGAGGAGATGAAGTGCAGGCGGTGTGAGAGGTACGATCTGAACCAATTAAGGACAATGCCGTGAAGGTTGAGGTGAGAAGAGAGGCAGTGGATGAGGATAGAGCGGTCGACGGGGTCGAAAGCAGCAGAGAGGTCAAGGAGGACGAGGAGGCAGAGGGAGCCCTCGTCACAGATGGTCAGAATGTCATTTGTCACTTTGACCAGGGACGGCTTCTGTGCTGTGGGCGGCGCAGAAGCACGATTGAATATCAAATGCAAGTATTATTATTGTTATTGTATCACATGCAAGGATTATTATTATGACTATTATATCATGTGCAAGGATTATTATTATTATTAGATCATGTGCAAGGATTATTATTATTATTAGATCATGTGCAAGGATTATTAATATTAGATCATGTGCAAGGATTATTATTATTATTAGATCATGTGCAAGGATTATTATTATTATTATTAGATCATGTGCAAGGATTATTATTATTATTATTAGATCATGTGCAAGGATTATTATTATTATTAGATCATGTGCAAGGATTATTATTATTATTAGATCATGTGCAAGGATTATTATTATTATTAGATCATGTGCAAGGATTATTATTATTATTAGATCATGTGCAAGGATTATTATTATTATTAGATCATGTGCAAGGATTATTATTAATATTAGATCATGTGCAAGGATTATTATTATTATTAGATCATGTGCAAGGATTATTATTAATATTAGATCATGTGCAAGGATTATTAATAATACTATTATATCAAATGCAAGGATTACTACTATTATTATATCAAATGCAAGGATTATCATTATTATTAAGCTGTGCAGTAGCCCCCCCCACCCCCACCCCCTTCCCCCCCTTCAGCAGCAAAAGCAGCCACCAACCAGGATCAGGCACAGCTGGCCTTGCGGGGCCTGTCAATCAGATGACGTCACCGGAGGGGGTGGGGTGGGGCGGGGGAGACCTGGCAGTATCCCTGGCGCTGATTGGCTGCTCGGCGGACCTTCCCCGGAGAGGTGGTGGTAGGGGGTCCTCGACCAATAGAAAGCGAGCTCTCGGCAGGACGCCAACATGGCCGCTCGCTCCACGGTTTGCCGCCGCCTTCTCCGCCACCTCCACCTGTCCGGATGAGGCGTAAATATTAACCGTCGCTCTCTCCCAACCCCCCCACCACCGCTCCCCCGCCCCCCCCCTCCCTCCTCCTCCTCCTCCTCGTCGTCGAGTGAGTTTTTGTTATCATTCATTTTTTAAAAAAAATTATATACATATATATATATATTAATTTAAATACAACAACAATCATCACCGTCACACACACAAACAGAGAGGGAGGGAGAGAGAGAGAGAGAGAGAGAGGGGGAGAAGGAGAAGACGTTGCACTTTAAATAAAAGCGAGGTCATGGCGAGCGATAACAAGAGGCAGTTCTGGAAGAGGAATACCAAGGTTCCCGGAAGGTTCGTGCACTTGGACTCACTTCGGGACTCGCTCACTCGCTGACTGTAACTCACTCACCAATTAATTGACTGTCCAATTCATTCGCTGTCTCTCTCTCTTTTTTGTGCCCATCGTTTTCTGCCTCTGTGTGTCTCTCTCTCTGTCTGTCTGTCTGTCTCTCTGTCTGTGTCTCTCTCTGACTGACTGACTGTCTCTCTGACTGTCTGTCTCTCTCTCTCTGACTGTCTGTCTCTCTCTCTCTGACTGTCTGTCTCTCTCTCTCTGACTGTCTGTCTCTCTCTCTCTCTCTGTCTGTCTGTCTCTCTCTGACTGTCTGTCTCTCTCTCTCTGACTGTCTGTCTGTCTCTCTCTCTGACTGTCTGTCTCTCTCTCTGACTGTCTGTCTCTCTCTCTGATTGTCTGTCTCTCTCTCTCTGATTGTCTGTCTCTCTCTCTCTGTCTGTCTGTCTGTCTCTCTCTGACTGTCTGTCTCTCTCTCTCTGACTGTCTGTCTGTCTCTCTCTCTCTGACTGTCTGTCTCTCTCTCTGACTGTCTGTCTCTCTCTCTCTGACTGTCTGTCTCTCTCTCTCTGTCTGTCTGTCTGTCTGTCTCTCTCTCTCTGACTGTCTGTCCCCCTCTGTCTCTCTCTCTCTCGCTCTGCCTCTTCTTGGATATCTCTGTCTTTCTCTCTGTGCCTCTCTCTGTGCCTCTCTCTCTGTAAGGCTGGGGTTGGCTCAGAGGTTGTTTGGGTTATCACTTACTATTATGTATTTGTTATTTATTATTGCTATCTCAGTCACTCCCACCACCACTTTACTCGTCCTCTCTTAACATCCTCTTTCTCCTCCTCCAAACCCCTCTTTCTCTTGCCCCCTGAACTCCCTCTCTCCTCCCCTCCCATCTCTTTCAGTTTGGTTCAGAGGTTCGCAGGGTTGTCACTTATTATTATGTATTTCTATTATTGTTTATTATTATTGTCTCAGACATACACAAACCTTACCCATCCTCTCCCAACCACCTTTCTTCTCCAAACCCCCCTCTCTAACCCGCTTATACCCACTTCTCTCTTACCTCCTCTTAACCCCTTTCTCTCTCTCATACTCCCACCCCCTTACCCTCCCTCTTGACACTCTTGCCCACATCTTATCTGCGTCTGACTCCCTTACCTCAGTTCTGTATCCAGACCAAGTCTGTGTTCAGTAGCTGCGCACCTGTACTATGCCAATGGTTAAACACTTACATGTTGCTGAGGATCAGGCTCAGTCTGTCTCACTTCACTGCTTCATGCTTTGGCCTTGCTTCCAATGTACACCAATGCTGTGTTCATACTAGTAATGCACTGACGAAGGAATGCAGGAACATAGTTCAATGATTTAACAGTACTGTCTTTCTCTTTATTTTGCCCCCTTTCTCATCATCACCCCCAAATTATGATAATCAAGATGCTTTTGCAGCAATATACAACTTTTGGCCGTCTGAAATTTGGAGCTGTCAACGATGCTACAAAAGTATCACATTTTGCCCCTTACAAACTTAACTTTTTTTGGCCCAATGTTTGTAAACAGTTAAGTAAGATTTCATTTTGATGATCTTAACTTCCTCGTCATCCTTATCTTGTATGTTCATTGAATTTTATGAGTTTTATGCTGCATGGTGGCAGTATGAACTAGCTGCATGCATTAACCTCAGAAACATAGATATGCATGCTTAGGGATGGATGTCAGTGTCCTGAATTAACAGTATTTGTTGACATTCCTTGCATGCTGTACTTTCATTCTATGTCTACTGAGTAACATGTTTATTACTGGAAAATGTTGATTTAAAAAAAAATCTCCTTCCTTTGTATTTAAGGTGACAGAAACCCATATTCCCTCTTATTTGCCAGTGTCATGACCAGTTGTAGTATTGGGGTTTATGTTATACAGGAAATACCATGATTTCAAAATAAACGAGTGCAGCATTTCCTACTTATCCTGGCATCTGACAAAGTTAGGGAGAGTGGGCACTAACATCACAAGGTGAATAGGTGCATCATTTGTTGAAGTATTGGCACGCAAAATGAAGATGCCTTTGCACCTTTTCGAAATAAAGTGAGTTAAATGTATGAGAAATTAATAATTCAAATTCAGTACATGGTTGCTGTAACAAAGCTCTGGTGCATCAAAGCTTCTCAAGCTGTAGTCAGGTTTGAAGTTTCATTACCAGCTTCAGTTACCTTTATGCTGGATCGTGTGCATTCTCATTGGGTGCTTTGGTTCCAAGTGCATATGTAGCATCGAAAGTACACATGCATCCAACACAAAGGTAATTCTCTGACATGTCAATTTGTTTACATTGTTTTGAGTGATGGCGTACAGCTTTAAAATGGCAGCATATTTTTGATGTGCATGCTTTCAGTTGTTAAATTATAATAATATCCTTGAATTTGGTTTAGAGCCTTATCACATTGGAAGGATGTCTCAAAGCGCTTCACAGGATTTACTGTGAAATGGAGTGAGTGACTGTATTTGTATGCAATCGTGACAGCGCAACTGAGACTATAATAGAAATTAGATTGGATTGTTTTGTCAACTGGCAAAGGGGACAGATTAAAGTTGTGGTAAATATGCTGAAATAGGGGATGGAGAACTCGCGTAGATGTAGTTTTTTTTAATGATTAGGAAGTCTAATTCCAGCATTAAATATGATAGATCATTCACTGCAGCCATTTAACACTTGGCTTCATTGATGTATTTTTCAGGGTGAGTCATTTTTATAATTTTTCATAAATATTTTTGTTCCTGTGACTATTAACCTCATTTTTATCACCTTTTTGTTCTAATCTCTCGTGTTAGCTGATGAGTACTTCAGAATTGCAATTCCCTTCAAATCATAGATTCTAATGACTGCTGGCCAAGTATTTTGCCACACATTTTATACATTGTTTGTGTGTATGAATTCTGTATTATAGTCTTTTCTAAAATGCTGTTTCATGATGTGCTTCATCTCTGCTCTTAAGTGACACAAACGGTTCACATGTTTTGTAGTCATTTATGTATTTTTCCCTGTAAATGTTGATATTGTGGGGGGATGTGTGCAGCAGTTTTCCATTTGTGTGCCCTACAGTGTACCATTGAATCAATTTGTTCAGTTGAAGCGGTCTGGAGATCCCCGAAGTTTAACTTTTCTCCCAGACAAGATTGCTCAATTGACATAATTGAAAGGGGATTCTTGCAGAGTCTGACTATCATCAATTGCTGTATAGTTTTTTTTTAGTTGGAACCATGGAGTACTCTATTGTGTTTTCTTCTTCAAAGATGTTCTCCTCCCACTGAATTATATCAGCCATATTGCCTCCCACAGTACAGATTTTCTTTAATTCTACCCAATAATTGCTCACCACACTACAGTTGGAACGCTAACCATGATGCTGTACACATTGTGTCCGTGTATAAACTTTGAGAAGCAGCAATTCAATGCTCCTCAAGCACCCAATGTTTTACGTCCATTTCATGACCACTGAGAACAATGAAGCCTGGAAAATAAAAAGCAAAAACATTCAGTTTGGTTCTGAAAGTAATGGTTAGAAAGAAACATATTCGTTTTGGTCAGCCGGGGTCTGACAGATGCGGAAATCCATTGTAAGAGTATCTGAACCAGACAGTTTCAAATGTAAATGCCACCAACACTTGGAAATTTCCTGTGTCTGGAATGGAACATGCACTCTCTCCGCAGGAATATATCCTGTTTACCTAATTCTGGAGAGTATTCACCACAGCTTGGAAAGAGCCAAGGCTTGGCCCCCTATTGGGGTATTGTGGAGTTTAATCAGCTAAAACTACAGAGCTGCCCATCAAAGGTTTTTATATTTAATTGCAAAGGCGGGAAGTTCTCACGTATGGGCCAATATTTGTCCCTCAACCATTGCTGCTTTTGGAATGTTGTTGGCACAGGTGATCCGGTGCGATTGGCTTCATAACAGGTCTTAATATCATAGTAACTAACTGTGTGAGGCCCTTGGGACAGTTCAACTTTGCAGACTTTACCTATCAAATGTAACTATATATCTTTACATTTGGATTGATTCCACCTGACCTGGCTGAATTGAATGTATCCAAACTTCATAGTATGAGCACAAATGAGACCATGTATTTGGGAGAATAATCGTTTTGAAGGGCCGTAATTCTTCTCTGAAGTCCATTTGTATCCATGTGAATGGTTGATTGAAACATAATATATCTTATGTTTGATCTGGTTCATAATCAGTCTATCCATCAACAAAATGCAATTAATTTTTTCTAAAATGCTTTTGTCTCTTCCAGAGCTCATTGTTTAAAATGTACAAGTAAATCTAAATGTTATGTCTGGATTGTACTGTAGTGACATTGCAACTGTGACCACCAACCGTCTTGTTTAAAAATGTCACTTCTACAATTCTTGGAGATGTGTAACTGATGTTGCACAAGGTATGTGTAGTGAAAGGTATTGCGACATCTTAAAGGTATAAATATAGAAAACTAAGGTAAGCATTTACATAATAAATTGGCTCATGCAACATTTAATAGCCTGAAACACTGAAATTTATGAGATCGTACATGGTTTACATTACATTAATTATAGCTTTTGAGTGACTTTTACCTTGTATTCTAATACAAGTTATTTGTGACCTTGTGAACCTGTTTTACAAGGTATTTCACAAGTGTTCAAAACAAAACAAAACTGCACACCGCAGTTTGATATATTCCCAATTGTTTGTTGATAAACCGAGGTTTGCCTGCTGTGCAGGTAGATGGTAAAGGTCCCATGGCACTATTCCTAAAAAAACAAAAGGAAATTTCTCCTGGTGTCCTGACAAACTGTTTTCTCTATAAACAACAACAACAACAACTTGCACTTATATAGCGCCCTCTACGCAGGGTAGAGTCTCAGAGCGCTTAAATAGGCTGTTCACTTCACGTTTGTTTGTGGGCCTGACTGAGTACAAACTGACTTGCCCACAAAAAATAGTCAATGCACATGGCAGCCTTTATCTGAAGAGATAAAGGTCGATAATAATCCCTCAAGAAAAAAACCCAACAATGTAATTGGTCACTCAATCCACGACTGTTTGTGGGACACTGCTGAGCGCAATTGGCTGCTGCGTTTCGCCCACAAATATTCACTTTACAGTATATTCTGCAAAATGCTTTGAGACGTCTAGAAGACGTAAAAAGCGCTATATCAAATGCAAGGATTATAAGAGCTTTGAGATATTTCTGTGTTACAGGTGCTGTATTAAATTGAAGAATATTATAGGACAAGGTGTAATAACTTATTTGGCTGATGGTGCTTGTATTAGATTCGCTGGTTTGCATTGAGGTTTGTTTTGGGTGCTTTACAACTGTTAATGTCTTTCAGCATGTTTTATATTGAGAAATTCATTCTCACTGCTGTCAAAGCAGTCCTGTTTTATATTGCAGAGTTGTTTGTAAAGTAGCTGGATGGTTGTTTCTTGCGCAGATTCGTACTTACACATTTTGTGACCGTAATGCACATTTGATAGTGAAACCATGTTCCTAATCGTTAACAGTGGGAGGGATCTCTACAACAATTCTTCACTCACAGCTTGAAAGGGTAGTGGTTATGGGCCAGTTCGGTCAATGGTAAGCATTTACATTGAAATGGTGCTGCTGTCATATTCGTAGCTGGAGTCTGCTTAGGTTAATGCTCCCATGCAGCACCTCACTAAATTTAGTTATGAGTTCTCTGTGATGGTAATAGTGCTGTCTTTTACATGTTTAATATGAATGGACTGTTAATCAGCCAGGTTCTAATCTATATACAGTCAATTCACTTTACGTTATATTCTTTGAAGCGCTTTGAGACGTCTCGAAGATGTGAAAAGGGTCTATATCAAATGCAAGGATTATTATTATGTATGTGAAAATAGGATGAGGCTTAAATATAGTGGCTATAATAGCTTACATGCTCACTCTTTAAACTCTTCCGTGAAGAATGGTCATTTGGCCAAGGGATCACAAAGCTTCCAGAGCGTGAGATACTGTTTTCCAGCAGAGGTAACTAAATTCAGGTTAATAGGGGAGAAACGTTGAGAGGTGGGAGAAGCTCATAATACCAATTTGGCAGCAGAAGATAAAAGATACTGATGTAATTCAATCTTGCATTGTTCAACTGCACATCTGCTTGACTTTTTACTCATTCTATGATCCCATCTCAAGCCAATGGTTGACATTTTCCACTACTTACTCTTCAATATCTTTGTTTATTCTGCTTGCAGTTTGGAGGAAATGCTTATAACGTGAAGCAGGAAAATTGTATGAGATGGGTTTATAAACAGGTTGCTAATTTTTGCCACTAACCAGTGCATGATCTGAATTGGTGCAACTGCAATGGGAAAGCATGTTCAGTTGAAATTTCATCCTGCTGTGAGCTAAATTCTGCATTTTCAGAACTACAATACAAGCTATTGAGTTTTTTTTCCTGCCTAGTTTGACTGTTGCTATTTTTTCTAGGACCTGAAGTACACAATGCTGTACAGTACAGAAACGCCTGCTGTTTCTTCACAGTCTCATTTTGTAATCTTTTATCGAAATGCTCCTGGTTGCAGCTATAAATCCAGCTCATTTAGTATGAATTTGATTTTCTTGTATTGTGTCCTCTTTCTCTGTTCACAGATCTGCAATATGAAGTGTAAATGATGCCTGTTTTATTCATTCTTTACACTTATATAGCATGTCTTTCTTTTTTCCTTAGTATACAGCAAGTATATGGAGCACAACATCCCCCAATTGATCCTCGGCTACATAAAAAGTAGGTTTACAGCACAATTTAATGTTTTGTGTTTGGGTGAGATGCTATTCTCAATCTGAATGATCTTCATTCTTTTACAGCAGCAATTATTTGTGGGACTAATTTTCAGTAATTTGGCTTTTGCCCCATAATTAGGGCGTCTGATTTTTGGTGGAAATACTGTTCTCTAATAAGCATGTAACAGAAAGAATGTAGTTAATCTGGGTTTCAATTTCAAATGATTGGTCAGGACTTGTTCTTCACTTTTTTGGTATCTGATAGTTTGTGACTGTCTTGGGTACAAGACCAAATGTTGCTGGTTAATGATGAGCATAAAGTATTAGAACTTTTCCAGGACAAGGTCCTGTTTACTGCAATTTAAATATTGCATGCAAGCATTCAATACACTTGTGTTCAAGCTCAGTATAAATGTATTTAAGCATTTGTGGCTTTCACTGTAACAGAGAAGTAACAACAATATTATATTGGTAGAGCTCCTTTCACGTCGGGAGGGCGTCCCAAAGCGCTGAACAGTCATGGATCCGGACCCGAGGGTAGGAGGGGAAGGGTTGGGATGAGAGAGGCAGGAGGGCGGCCGAAGGCATGGTCGAACAGGAGAGTCTTGAGTCGTGCCAATTAGGGTACATTTTAATAGTACAAACCAAATCTTTTATAGAAATATTTCATTGTATTAATCAACTCGTAACACCGCTCCCCAATTCTCCATTGCTCCTGCACTTACCAGGTGCATTAAATCATGGAAACTGACATCCTGACCTGCTTACCATGCATTGAATCACGGGAAACTTAGTCTTGATCCATTGAGGCATGTGCAGAACAACACCATTTCCCACGATTCAGTGTGATTCCAATGCTTGCCAGTAGATGCTCATGCAGCGACGGGACAAGGCACATTGAATCACAGGAAACATAGTCTTGACCCATCACCGCATGTGCACTTACCAGCTGTAGTGACGAAGTATTGGATGCACACACTTACTGGCTGCATTGAATTACTCATGTGCAGTGTAGATTATTGGTTAAACCAGATTTTATATGACTTATACAAGTTTGCCTGTGGCTCGGACTTTGTGTAAGTCATATTAAATGTTATAGTCCCGACTGATATGACTTGTGTGAGTTACTGTACTCTGATATACGTTCGCTGTTGCTTCCACGTTTCATCTCTCCAGCAAATTAAAGTAGAGTAGCCTTTTTACAAATATGTAATTAAATACAAGAAGTTTTATTTATAAAGCGCCCTTCATGCGGGGTAGCATCTTGGAGCAAATATGGTTAAACTATGGCATTGATAACTTTTGACGATCTTGCTAATTTTTGATCATGATTCTTTAAAAAAAACTCAATCCATATTTACAGAAACATCTTATGAAACGTTCACTTCTATCTTGAACTTGTTGCTCATGGACTAGATTTGGAAATGTTTATTTTGTTGATATGTTACTAACGAGTGAGTTCTGTAAAAAGATTTTCGGACATTTATGTAGCTGTGCAGCACTTCAACAATCTATAGCTGAAATTATGTGATGCAGTTTTTATTTCTCGTATCATTTTGGGGATATTTTTAGTCTAACTTGGCCTTCCCTCTAATATATTTCCATTCCCTGTATGGCAAATTTAATTTATTCAGTGTACGTGAGTTATAAAACTATTGTTTACATGATTAATTATTTACCAGGTTTGAAAATCAGACTTGATGTACATGTGTGAAATAGCATTTCAATGGACAGTACAGTAGTATTGCTAAATTCATTTGCAAACAGTAGCAGACACCAGGATCTGTGGCCAGCATTGAGCCCTTGACTAGTTTATTTTAATAAACTAACTAGAGGACCAGGGTTCGATTCCCGGGCGGGTCAGGGCGAAACCTTAGGTGAATTTCCTTACACCACACGCACGCCTCTGTTTACCTAGCAATAACTAGGAACCCGTCTGTTAGTTGATTGGGGGATCGCTTTTCCGAGGGTAATAATTCCTTCAAAAAATAATAATTTGGTCAATCAATCCATGACTGTTTGTCGGACACTGCTGTGGCAATTGGCTGCCGTGTTTCGCCCACTAGATATAGTCATTAAACTTTACAGTATATCCTATGAAGTGCTTTGAGATGTCTTAAAGCTGGAATAAGGAGTTATATCAAATGCAAGGATTTTTTTCACTTAATCTTGGAAAAAGATTGGTAACTCAAGTTATGCTTTTGCTGTATGTGAGTTACTGTAAAGGTATCTGGCAGTGTTGAAAAAAGTGCCCTAATCTCACCACCATCAATCACATTGGCATATTTAGATGCACCTCAGCATTGGGATTATTTGCTCTGTTTGTTCCCAATTACATTATCAGATTATCCATAAAAAGGCTTTTTAATTTTCTCTGATATAACTAATAATATATTGGCACTTCATGAGTTTATTTCTAATTTGCCCTTTTAACGTACAAAAAAGTCAAGTTAATAACCCACTGCAACATATACACAGACTGATGTAACAATACCCTTGTCACAATCAGTATTTTTATTACAGTTGTATTAATGTAATTTTATTTTAATAGGATTAGTACAGATCATAAAGAGCTATATCAAGTCCAAGGATTATTATTATTATTATATTGTATAATCACTGCAGCAAATTAACCATTTGAATGGAAAACACAGCTTCTACCATTGGAAAGTATTTTACAAGGTAAGGCTGGGTAAACTCATCTGTAGGTCTGAGCAGTTCATAGTGAGCTCTTACCATGCATTCTAGATTTGGTATCACAGAGACTAAGATCTGAGGATAACTATGCATTTAGTTACATGTAGCAATCTTTCCCTCTCTATTAGTTTGTGGAATCAGTCCTGCAGCTTAGTGGTTGAAGCACTTGCCTCGCGAGAGGACCTGGGTTCGATTCCCGGGTAAGGTGAAAGAGTGGCCAAGTTTCCTTACTCCACACATCTCTGTTTACCTAGCAGTAAGTAGGAACCTTGGTTGTTAGTCGATTGGCGGATCGGTTTTCCGGGGATAATAATCCCTTTGAAAAATAAATATTTATTCATATAATTTGCTATATCAAATGCAAGGTTTATTATTACTATTATTATTCTTCAGTCCTTTCTTCTCCTTTAAGGCATTGTATGTAGTTTAGGTTTGGATTGACGGTTGCACTCAGGTACCTCATCCAGGTGGTGATTCTGCATATGTGAGTTTTAACAGTGAGCATCAGCAGGCAATTTGACTGCGAGTACATTGCAACCAAGCAATTCTGTTCTTGCCAGATGTTCATACATGTACACGGAGAGGATATCTCAATAGTGGGCATGCTGCTGATTATTTTTCTGAATCTAATTTAGGAGTTCTGAAGCTGCTGTTGCAGCCTTGGCTGATATCATGTAACTCAGTGTGGAACATCATTTTCAACACAGAACATTCTACTTTGGAGTCACCTCAGTGTCCCAACGGTCATTTCTACTATGAAGCAGTACGCAGACATTCTGAGATTTAGAAAGATTTAGAAAAAATGTACAGCACGGAAACAGGCCACTTGGCCCAACCAGTCATTGCCACATTGTTTATACTCCACATGAGTCTCCATCTACCTCCCATACTTTTCTATTCCCCTCTTCCCTCATTTGAAGGTCTAACTTCCTCTTAAATTTGTCTATGCTGTCTGAACCACTGCTTTGGGCTGTGAGTTCCACAATCTTACTGTGCTCTGGACGAAGTAGTTCCTTCTAAATTGTCTTTGAGATCCCCCTAGTTGCCATCTTATACTTGTCCCCTGGTTACTCCCCAGGCAGTGGAGAACATCATATTTATGCTAACCTTACCAAACATGTTTATTAGGTTCCCCCTAGAAAAAAAACACCTATCCAGACTATCCTGGCAGCAGTAACCTGTCATCCCTGGTATCCTGGTAAACCTCCGTTCACTCAAATCAGATAAACTGCATTTGACTTGTTCACACTGCTTGACTGATTTTATGGTAGGTCTGTCAGTTGTCAATTTTTAATTTAAGAGCTTAATTTTATAGTAATGAGCAAGGTTAATTTTATCATTTTGATGTTCAGATAGTAGATCATGAGAGTAAATGCAACGATCAAATTAGTTTTTCTTTACTGCTCAGTTAATTGTTTTGAATGGATTGTCTAAATAAAAATGCTAAATCTTTTAATATGATGTGTTAAATTTTGTGCAGAACGGAAGTAAAATATTTGGCAGTGCTTATTATTATTTACAGGCAATTCTACCATAATACTTTAAACACGATTGTGCTCTACAAAACATCTTAAGAAAATCTACCCAAATGGTTTCACAACTTGAAGTTCTTTATAAAGTTAGAGAATTTCTGTAGTTTGCTCTTTTATGCACTTCTGTTTCTCTATTTGTCAAAGACTGAATACTGAGATTTCTTGCCCAGCGACGCTATATAAAGTAAGTCTTTTGAATTGTGGCAGAATTACTGGATCTGGAAATTTACTTTCCTGTGATAGACTTTTGCTGCTACCTAATTCACATATGCATTACATTCAGGCAACAATTGGCATTTTTTAGCCACTGTATATCATTTCACACAGTATATGAGGGGCACAAAAGTGAACTTGTGAACTTCTATCCAGAAAGCTCAATGTGCAGACACGTCTGAAGCATAAGGAATATGTCCTTACCTCAAGTATGGGTTGAATCACAGTTGAGAAGTTGTCTTTGTCACGCAGCATCATGGAGCTTCTATGCAACTATTGCTGAAAGTGCAGTAATATGGTATGCTTACGGCATAAAAGCATTTCCAGCAAAATTGATTATCTGTATTGTTGAAGCAAATTTATTTTGTTTTACTAATCCTAGCAATATATCTATATGTTTCAAGTGCAAAAATGATAATGGCATATATATATATGCCATATATGCCATTATATAAATATATATGCAGTACTATTCTTTAAGGCTATAGATGGTGCCTATTTTATAACCGTTTGTGTTGTTAATAATAGTGTTGTGCAAAGTGTAGTTTGATTTTTACCATGACATTGTCCATTTTGATGGATGAATAATGAACAACAATATTTTCTAGCAAAATTCACCTTCTAAATTAAATGTCTTTAAATTCTCCTGTTTTTCCAAGAAATAACTTAGTACGAAGACCAATTTAATAGCCTTTTCTTAAAAAGACTTACCTTAAAGTTTTTTTTGTAGTGATTTCAATTTTATGAATGGTAAAGTGGAAATACAGTACTTAATGCAGTTTTTTTACTGCGATACTGCATTTTTTTTATCATTGATGTAAATGTCATCTCTTAAATTTAAAAAGGTAATTAACCCACGTAATTTTTACAAGGTGTTTTGATTAAGTGCTCAGAGGAAAAGTATGATGCTGAGTAATATTGTTTTTTTTTTTTGCAGCTTGATTAAAGAAGGTTCTAAAATGTACGCTCAATCAAAGTCGAAGAGAGCCTCGAGCTTCCATGAGTTTGCAAAAAGCACCAATGATGCTTGGGACATCGGGGACGATGAGGAAGAGGAGTTTATGTCCTTTGCTTCCCAAAGCCTTAACTCAAAGGTTGCGATGGCAACAGCTGCTCAGGTTATCCAGAACCATAGTAAATCAAAGGAACATCACGGAGAAAAAACACAGCCATTACAGTCAACTGATGAGAATAAAAGTAACGGCAAGGTGATCAAATCAAATAGTGAAGCACAACTGTCAAAGTCTACCAGTAAGTGTTTCTTTCTGCTTTTACTTGGGTAGTCTGAGTAATCATGCTCTGGGGCACGATGAGATAAATATGTCCTATTTTATACCTTGTTCGATACAGTGGGAGCAGCTTTGATGGGTTGTGCATGCTCATGCTGCCGTATATCGCGAAAGATCCCAAAGAAGTGCTACTATGGATGGGTTTTTTAAAAAACAAAAAGTCTTCACCAGGCAACTAGGATGATTTTCAGCAGATGATATTTTATATTTTCAACTTATACATTTGGTAACAGCTGGCACTAACCATTGTTTGGTTTTCATAAGAAAAACTTGTGAATCATGGGATACTGACATAGCAAAATGTAATATTGAGATGCAAAAAGAGCACACCCAAGCAACAAAATGTTGCTCGTGATTGAAGTGACGACTACAGTTACAGCAGTATTGTGTGTCTTAATCTATGCTTTTGGTTGTAATTTATGTTTCTCTGAGATGCCAAGATGAAATTGTCTTGAAGTGCAGAGTGTACTTCATTCTCCAGTTAGGGAATTTAAAGAAGTCAGGCTGTTTAACTTTAATACTTAACAACAAAATGGGTTAGAATATCTGTCCTATCGAGTCTTTTGGAAGAGGTGCATTTTTCATTGTCTTATGATGTTTTTAATCCATTAGGATTTTATTGTGTCTAATATCTTTTCATTACTCCTGATTTGGGGAGTGGATCTCAGTTTTTGTAGATGCCAAGCTCAATACTTTACAGTAGGTGTAAGTGGGATCATGCCACAATATTAGAGCACATTTGTAATCTGTTAACTTTGAACTATAGCCAGTGTTATGGAGATGCTGTGCTGGTGTGACAGCCTTGGGAATGACATGAACAGCCAGTTGTTTCGTTACTTTACTGAATTTTACTGTACTTACACCAAATGTTTGGCAATGCATCGACCAATTTGAAATAATATGGAGTAAGAAATATAACCACAGTCTTAGTATTAGCAAGATTCTTCTGATCTGATGTAAGCTCCATGGTATTTTGTACAGGATCAGTGGCGATCTTTGACACAGACCTGATTCATTCTGTTGAACAGAACATGGAAGGAACGTATGAATGGAGGAATATCTCTTAAACAAACATTGAGAGTTGATTCATGCAAATATTTGGTTTACCAGTGGTAGGGCATTCTAGACTTGTGTAGGATTTATAATTGTATATCCTTTTGATTTTATTACAGATGGACACTGAATGAACTGCCTCCCACTCCTTCAGATTCTGACAAATCTTTATTAAGACTTTACTCTTATTTCTGTCCCAGTTGAAAGTATTGGCCTTGTTTTTACTAATAAAGATTTGGCACAAAGTGGATACCATCTTTGCGTCTGAGTGCTTATTAGCCAGGAAGACTGTTGGGATGGCAATAGGAGGGGCTTCAGGGTTAGGTGAATCTTTGAGAAGGTGTTGTGACTGCAAATAGTGAGAGATCTACCAATCTTAAGCAGCAATATTTTTTGTACACTGTGGGCATAAATAAATAATGGCAAGGATTCTTAATACCTGGACATTCCCACTGGTTAACCAAACTGAAGGTTATTCTGTAACCTCAGGTTCCAATTAGGCTGCTACTAATTAGAGAAAGATTAGTGGTACCTATTTGCATGGATCCAATGTTTTTACCATTGGATGCAAACCAGTGGGATTTGATGTTTACAGACGATGTAAGCTTTTTTAACTGGCATATATTCAACTGTACCCATGCTTAATTTACCAGTTATTCTTTAGCTTGAGAAAGTTGCACGGACGTGTAAGTCACCCCCCAAAAAAATGTCTCCACCCCTGAATCTCCACATTCTTTCTCTAATTAAGGTATCTGCTTCTTGGCATGCCTTGATTTTTAGTAAGCTTCAAAATATACACAGAAAGTTACGAAAATGTCAACAAAGTAGAAATGTTAATCCAGACTTTGAAATGGACTTTATGAAGATTGTCATATCAATCAGCTTCTGGATGTTATCACATTGACTTAACATTGGATGTCTGTAACTTCAAATCATCCATAAAGGGATAGCATAGGAACAAACTTCTCTTCTGAAGAGCGTTTATAGTGCACCAATAGAAATTTACAACCTACTTTGAGCGGGCAGAAGTTCAAAATTCAAGAACCCAATAATTTTGGAAAACCAATGTGACAAATTCAATTACTTCCTCTACTCCTGAATGAGCTTCTGATTTCTCCTTAACCTTTCCCTTTTTTTTTGTAAGTTCCCCCCCCCCCCCACACCTGGCTACCTCACATATGCACAAGCAATAAAGGTGGTTATACATGCCAAAACCATTAGCAAGTGCAGGAGCAGGAACCTTATCTGGTTTCCCAACTCCTTAACCCTGGAACTTCTGGGAACAATTTAGCCTCTGTGCAAAACCTGCTAAGGTCAGCATACTCAACATGGACTGAGTGATGACTACGGACTTGGATTGGATTTGAATCAGTGAGCAATTAGATTGCAAGTTGCAGCTGTATCCACTGCACCACCAGGCTTGTCTCAAACAAAACCAAGTTCAATATATTAGCCAACCCTTAGAGAATGCCTTGTTTCCCCGCAAGCAATGGTAGTAAATTCACTGACCGGTGGAGAATCACCTTTTGGCTGTTTGCCATCCCATGTTATGAATGTTTAGTTCAGCTTGATATCAGTTCATCCATTTGTATAATTTTCCTAACAACCTTGAGGAACAATTAACTGCATTGTACATTGAGTAGATGTAAAGTAAATAAAGTTAAAGGTTAGTAGAGCATGTTTCTGAATTGAAACAAATGGGCTAACCTGTAATAATTATGATGGCCCTGCTCTGTAAATTGTCTGTACTGGCAGTTTTAGTCTTGCCAATTATGTAGCTTTATTATCTTTCCCAAGATAACTCATTGGGGTGGAGAGAAGGGTAAAAAAAACTGATGAGAAGTCAGAGAAATCAACTGTTCTGCATTAAGCATTATTGCAGTAAAATGTTCATCTCTGCAGAGCAGAAAGATCTAACCGTAACATTCTGTGCTTCTGTTGCCCAAGATGTACTCGTGCAATGAATGTCTTCACCCTGCTGGTAAGCCAGAGGTTCAGAGGTGCTATTATATCTATGATAATTTGCTGTTTTTTCAGTAGTTTTTAACCAATAATATTTAGAAACTGGAATGTTTTTATAAATAGCCTCTGTGATTAGATCATCAGCAATTTTAAAGACGTACCACCTTTGTGGGAAACTTATTCTTATTTATTTTGGATTTTCCCCCGAGATGGACATGAAAAATGTATAGAATGGTGGAGGTAAGTGCTTCGAATTGATTTCAATGTTCCCGTTTTCAGAAGTTGAAGTCAAAGCTTTAAGATGCTGCTCACCCGTGAACAGACATAACTTACTGCTTTGTATTCTCTTCCGCCAGATGGTATGTCTTGATTTTGAAGTGAAGTGGTTCAACTAGTTCAGCTTTCCAGGAAAGATACGATTTAAAAAAAACTATTATCTTTATGTAAATATAAAGTCTTTCTGCTGCTGAAATAAATGTTCTATGCTCCACTTTCCTTGTTTTAATCTGGGTAATAAAATAAGTAGAAGGAATATTCTTTCTGTTGGTGACTTATTCACTGCTGGAAGGTGACGTTTTGGAGGCTGAAGCAATGAACCGGTACTGTCCTTCCTCACGAAGGCGAAAGAGCAATGATTTGTAACGCTTTCACAGTTAACAGGATCACTAAAATATCAATCATATTTAATGCCAGACTGAAGCAATTATGGGGGCATATTCCTTGGGACAGTGGGTAATTTCAGCAAAACCAGTGAGCTAGCGGTCTGTGGAGACCTTGCAAGAAGTTTACAAATTGCTTATGGGAATTTCGTAACCACAAGAGGTTATATTTGTGCTTTCTATAGAAACTGGGTCATTTCTATTTATCAATTTTCCACCTAAATTTCATGGCTGGTATCTCTGTTTATATTGATTTGAGACATTACAAATTGCACAACAGTTTCTGCGATGATTTATTCTGCTGTACTGATGTTTAGGAAATTGAACATTTCAGAATAATTCTTTCCAGTATACAAGGTTAGATGAAACGTGTCCGTATAAAAATACTGTGAGATGCTATATTTGAAATGCATCCGTATGAGAATCTGACTGCTCCAATTCAGCTTCGATTATTTTTACAGTTTTTTAAAAAAAAGTTTACTCTTGTGACACCTTCTTCGTGCCCTGAAAATATGGGCTATGCACTTTGTCTGTGCTGATGTTAGCCAGTGGATAGGACTGCTAGAAGCATTGCGTAAACCTACCTTTCTCCACTGGGATGCTTTTCAGGTGTCCAGCCTGACAGCCTTGCATATGTATTGGGCTGTTGTTTTGAAGCTTGAAATAATAGAGGAGAGGCTTATCGTGTCCTTGACTGACATATTTGAGGTCTTGGTGTGATCGTAGATGCTACAGTATGTCTAGTCACAATTTTCATCCTATTTGGTGAGCAGCTCAATATGAAAAGAGTAATTTCTCGATGGCAATATGTTTGAATGGCAGTGAAGTAATGGAATGACTAAAATGATTTGCTTGTGCAAATGGGAAAGTGAAAGGGACTGTATCAGAATACACAACAGAGAAGAAAGATTGCAGATGATGGACATGAGTTGCTGTTACTTGCCAAATGATTAAGTCGCTTTTATTGTCTGTTTGCAAAACTGGCAGAGGAATATTTAAGAGCAGTATTGCACCTGGAGTAATATGAAGCTTTTGTAGATTTGATGTTCATGCCCAGAAGCCCGATTGTGAGAGATATGTTATAGTTTGAATTTGACCTGTAATTATTCAAATCTCAGTGCAGTTCATCCAAATACATGGTTACAAAATCGCACAGATATGGCAAAAAAAATGATACCAGGTTTTTATAGCAAGACTGTTGTTTTAGGGAAACCGAGAACCTCCCTAAACCCAAAGATTGCGTAAAAATTCCAGGATTAGATTACAATCTTGAACTTTATGCTGCTAGTTTAACATGTTAAAGATGTCTAATCCATGACCGTCAGCATAAAGTGCTATTTCTTTAACTCAAAAATGATGCTTGTGAATGATGCATGTTTGGTGAGAAAGTATGGTTTATTTCAAGTTTCTTACCAAGATTCACTGTAATCATTGCTAGGTGATTTCTTTATCAACAACTCACTCTCTGGAACCCAATTTCAAAAGTTAGTTTGCTTAAAATAACTATGATTAATTAGCTTTACTTGCATTTTACTAGTTGTGCTTTAAAAATATTTAATTGTTAATTTACTAATGAATACTAAAGTACTGTAATTAGATGATTTGAAGGAATTAACTTTTAGATGGTGATCTGAACAAAAGAGATGACAAAGGAGAGCACTCGGCTTCAATCTAACCATTCTCTAACTGCAGTGTTACCCTGATTATTAATCCTCCTTGTTCTTAAATATAATCTCCGTTACTTTCCATTCTTCAGCAGTAACGTGCATTGACATGTTATAAGCAGTATGGTGCAGTCTCATGATCGACCTTCTAGTGGCTTAGTCCCCAGAACACTGAGAGTAAATAAATGATTGTGGTCACTGAATTCCTGTTTATATTAGGATTTCCAAAAAAAATTCGTGCTGGAATAACTAGAAATGATACAGATTCACCCTAGGGAGAAGTGTCAAAGTGAACTGATGAGAAATGTAAAGACTGAATGACAGAGTACTTTTGTTCCTTTTGACATTTCTCAACCTTCTGACTTTTCTGTTGTGTGACTACGCTGATCCCGATCTCAATTTCCTCAAATTTCTAAAGAAAAGTTCAATCACGTACAGCAATCTTTCTCTCAAAAATTCAATGTAATACTTTTGATGTGTTTTTTTGAGTCAAGACTGCTCTAACGTCAGTGACCTTTTACAGTTCTCTCTGTCTCTGTTGGATTTCCTTTGTTTTGCTTCACCTATGATCGTCCTCCGTCTCTTGCTATCTTTTCAATTTCTTCATCAGATCTTTACTCATTTTATACAGTTTTCTAAATGAGGAAAAGATTTGTTTGCTAGGAACTCCCAACAACAAATTATATTTGTATAGCTGCTTTCACGTCGGGAGGACATCCCAAAGTGCTGGACGATCAGAGATTTGGACCTGAGCTGGGGGTTGAGATCAGGAGGGGAGGAGGGCAGGGAGATAGAGTGTAGGAGGATGAACGAAGATGCACTTGAAGAGGAGGGTTTGAGACGAATCTTGAAGGAACCGAGGGAGGGAGCAAGCAAAGGGATTGTGAGATGGAGTTCCAAAGGATGGGGGGGTGAAAGGCTTTGGTTACCCAAATTGTATGATCTTATTACGTAGTACAATGTTAAAACTAAATACACTATTTATATTGCAACTAAATGTACTTTTGAGCAGATACCATGAACAAGTATATGAGGTCCTGTAGTGGAGTCCTGTAGCTCAGTGGTTAGAGCACTCGCCTCACAAGTGAGAGACCTGGGTTCGATTCCCAGCAGGGCAAAACCTTGGGCAAGTTTCCTTGCTCCACACGCCTGATAATAATCCCTCAAGAAAAAAAAATTGGTCACTTCAATCCACGACTGTTTGTGGGACACTGCTGTGGGCAATTGGCTGCCGTGTTTCGCCTACAAATATACAGTCAATTTACTTTACTGCATGTTCTGTGAAGCGCTTTGAGACGTCGAGAAGACGTGAAAAGCGCTATATCAAATGCAAGGATTATTATTATTATGAAGAGTCAATGATTGGGAAACTTTAAACTGAGTCCTTCCCTTTAAGTTCAAACTTAAGTTATGTTGAAAGATAAAACAACCACAACTTGCATTTATATAGCGCCCTTCACACAGGATAGTGCTATTATTCACATGGAAAATAAATTATTAAAATTTAACAAAAGCTCCTTTTATTCTCTTTTGGTCTAGTCGCAAACGAGGAGGGAAAATCTAAACAGTGAGACTGTTTACTCCTATTGAATTTCTCCTGACCTTGGCTCCTCACTTTCTATTCTCATAATAGTTCTATTCCCTGTTATGAGATGAATGCATTTTGCTTTGTACATTGCTGACAGATGGGGCGAGAAAATGTAGATGCACCATCTCGATACTCCTTACCCAGTGACCAGTGAATGTGTTCTAACTGATTAACATTCAGGGATAAGTAATAACCGTTTGATCTCCTTCTTGTTTTAGGTGGCTCTTCAGGCAGGAATACACTCCAGAAACAGCAGTCACTCCCGTTGCGACCTGTTATTCCATTGGTGGCAAGGATGTCGGATCAGAATGCCTCAGGGCTGCCGCCGATGACAGTGAGAGAAAAAACACGCTTAGAAAAATTCAAGCAGCTTCTGACAAGTCAACATACAGATTTGGGTAAGTTGATGAGGAGTGACGTGGAAATCAGCTGGACCAGTTCTTTGGCAAAATAGTTTATAATACATGTTGAGCACAAATCGAGATTATCCTGATGAAATAATTTCCAACTAACTTCTTGTAGACCTTCTCTCGCTACTCTTTCCCCTTCCAGATTATCGAGAAACCTCCAAAGGAATATTTGCAGTTCTTACTGCACCATAGACCGCCCTCCCACTGATAAGTCCTTTTATGCCTAAATGTCATGAAACCTGCAAGAGAACCTCCTATTTACTTGCTTGAGTTGGATTTGCACTTTGCATGCTGTTATCTCGACACTCCAACAAAATGAGTACAAGATTATTTTAGTGGCTCCCATTATTCTGGTGTATAGACAGGTCAGTCCTTTCTGTTATTTTTAAAAAAAATTAAGCAGGGACCTTTTAAATCTTTTTTTTTACACATTAAGAAATGGCAGATATCAGGATAAGGTTAAAAAGAACGTTTTTTGAAACTTCTCTTGAGTATTCCTTTTAAATCTGTTCAAAGCTTGTCTTTAAAGTATGAAGAAAGCAGCATTGTATGGAGATGAATCAAAGAGAGGTAGGAAGTTTAACAAGGTTTTATTGATGGAATTCCCATGTTCTGAAAATAGTTTCTTTTTTTCGGAAGAGGTGGTGCTGACAAGAACTAATCATAGAATCTTACAGTGAAGGAAGCCATTTGGCCCATCGTGCCTGTGCCGGCTGTTTGAAAGAGCTGCCCAACTAATTCCGTTCCCCCACTGTTACCCCATAGACCTGCGATTTTGGTTCCTTTTTAAGCATCTATCCAATTCCCTTTTTAAAGCTACTCTCGAATCTGCTTCCACCACCCTCTCAGGCACCGCATTCCAGATTGTAACAACTCTCTGCGTAAAAAAAAAAAATCTAATATGTAGAACACATTAAAGTAATCAGAAAACAAGTTTTGTGAGTTAAATTTTTCTTTCATCAATGTGGCAACTCATTCGACATTCAGCATTGTCTTGGGTGTAAGGAATTTGATGCAGAAGGAAGGTCCCTCGACTTGCATCAACTCTTGAGTCTTAACTCCAAACTCAGAAGAACAACTCCTTCACTACAATAATGTGATTTATTTTTCACATCCCACACCAAATATCTTTAAAGGCCTTTAAAGACATTAGACGTCTCAATGACATGATAAGGCGCTATATCAAATGCAAAGATTATTATTCTTAGATTGGCACATTTGTGGACAATCAAATTGGATTATTTTGTGTCTGAATGCATTAGCCTAACATTTGTTTCTATCCAGTATTTTCTAACATTGAATCAGTACACTGAACTTTATTGTGACGTGTCAAAAGTTATTTACCTAGCTGAGTTTTCAGTAGCAGTAGTAAAGCTGGTGATTGTACATTACTACCGGGGTCATCAGACATTACTACTTCAGTTAAACTGGCACAAGGTGTTATTCATCCAATGCTTGAATTGTACTTTCTAAATAATAAGCACATTAATTCAATTATTCAGCCATATCTAATGGGATTCTTAAATAAGGAAATCGAATGGGGAGTACGTAAAAGGCATTGTACAAATGTAATTTTGTTGTTGTTAATGACAACCATATTACATCGACCTGTGGGAACGTTGCTCTAAAACAGATTGTGTCCGAACAGAGCTCCTTTGAGTCAGTGTGACTTACATCCAGTGTTCTTCTAAAGGAATCCTCTTAGAAATCGCTGCTTGCTAGAGACCTCATTGATTGGAAACGTATAGAAATGTTGTTCTAAAAGTAGCGCTCTGGGGTTAATAGGTTTTTCCTCTGGAGCATTGCAGTGTAGCGCAGCTGTTGTGCTTCATCTCATATTAGCTTCATGTTTCAATTACCTTGAATCTGATCATGCACAAAAGAAGTGTGAGATGCAAAGTTATCAGGAGTGTCTTGATCCTGTAAACACTCTGACTGAGATTGATGACCACATTTCTTTTTCCAGTGTGATTCACCGCCTCTCGAAATGCTTTCTTCATTTGCGTCTGTTATACTTGAGGGCTTTATTAAGGCGTAAGGTGTTTTGCGCAGAACTTTTGTGGCATCAGTGATGGGAATAATCTTCTCAATCAATAAGCTTGTTTCTGTAAGTCTTTACTGATAAATAAGGTATGGTTCTCATCTGTGACACAAGGTGGTGCTAGCATGCAGGCAAAGTGTGAGAACCTTGATCCCTTCAGCTCTGCAAATCAAATTGATGCAATTGAATCATTTACTCAATTCATGGGAAAATATAAAGCACTGTTTCAGTTGCTGGAAAAATAAATCTGCATAACAGAGCTTGCTGTCATAAGGAAGCCTAAGCAATTTGGTCACTTTGCTTGTTTGTTATAATTGAAGCCATTTCTCAGGTGTAAAGCTCCCTGTTTGGCATAGGCTGCTTCTGAGTTTAAAAGCAGCTTTGCAAAGCTTCGTGTCCTTTGCACCTGTTTAAAAATCGAGAAAGGAATCAACAAGCTCAGTGAAACATTGGTATAATACAACAGCCTGGTGTTTTAGTTGTTGAATGCGAAATTGAGGTTTATGTGAGAGTTGTATTGGTCATTGAATAATCAAATCGTTTAGAAGGTATTATTTTACATTATACATGTTCATATGGTATTATTCTGCATATTATTCTACATCAAATCGGTCATCAAATAATTATTGAATCTGATTCCTGCAGTTTTTTTTTACCCGTCTTCACTTAATTTTAATTGTTTTGGCCAGAGAGATAAACTGACAATTCCCTTCTGAAAATCTGTAACAATTCATTGGTAAAGTTTTTCAACTCTCTAGTATTTTGATTCAGTTCAGTTTGAATCTTCACATTATCAAAACAATAGCTATTTGTCTGCGTTTGTTTAAAAAGTTGGAAAAGCTGTTTGCAGTGAAATTAAAACGGATGAAATTAAAATGAACGTTATGAAAGCAGTAACATAGAATAATAAAAAGCAAGCATTGAACATGAAATCTTTAACAAAAGGGACAAAATGAAAAGAAAAGTTAGTCAAATTAATAAGAAAGGCAGAATAAGTCCTTAGCACAGAGAACAAATTGTGCCAATATTGAAAACAAATATTGAATCTAATCGTTACACGATTTAAATAAGCTTCTGGCAATAAATCTCAGCACTTTCCTTCACTGTCATAATTTTAGATCTGCAATCTTTTAACTTCTTAATAATTTGCACTTTTTAATCAAATGGACAAGTACAAACATTATAGCTAATATCCAGTTATAATGTCACAACTTGGCTAACCTTTTTGCTGTGCTGTCCATAGACTAAATTATTGGTTGCTATTTTATAGAGCACCAATTCTTTAGAGGATAAGTAAAGGATGGACCATTTTGTACCTCTGTTGTCCTCGTCTATCGTTCAGTTTGTTCCACAGATAGACATAGTTTTAAAATTTGTTGGAAAAGTGTATTGTAATGGCGCCATGCCTACAGCAAACAAAAATGTGGTGAGCCATCACCTAATGCAGTGCAGCTTCACACCTGATGCTGCCTGAAGGAGATGGCATCAGGAACTGTATGTAAGCATAAATGTGGCTGTTGCAAGGTCTCGCAAAGTCCAGTGAGCAGCAAAATCATTTTCAACCAGACATTTTGCAACGGACATGAGTCAATTATGTAACTGGCTTTGGTAAAATCATTTAAACTCTAGTGATTTTAGTGATCTGAACACGTGTGCAAAATCCCCAAATTGGGTGTTTGCAGTTTGTAGCACCAGCTTAATGTGGTGTGGAGCAGGAGATATAAAATTGGACTTTCCGCTCTGCATCACAGTACTACCAGGAGCTCAGTGATTTTGCTTCCCGCAGTATAAATGCAATAACAAAATCAAACGGTGGTTTAAAAAGATCACTGCATAAATTAGCCGCAGGTTTTGAAGTTGTAGAATACCTGCCTCATGTTGCGTGTTATGCGCTGGGTATTATGACATGTGCTACATGGGAGGAATAACAATTAATATTCTTGATAATTATATGCTTTGTAATAACTACTTGCACTGTATTGAATTGATTTCCGCAGTGCTCCAATGTAAAAGAACAGATTCTCAATTGTGATTACAGCTCACAAATCTAATCTCGGGGTTTAGATTATTTTGGGAAGATCGAGTAGCTTATAACTGTCATCTGAAGCACAAAATCAGATTGCAGTTGTGAAATCACTCTAGGTTATCTTTATTTTTATATAATACATACTGTTCATTTTTCGGGTCTGCTTTTGTGTTGGCAGCTGGTGACCGCACAGACTGATTGCCGACGTGCTCCATGTCACTGCGGTGTGATGCAGTTCACCCTGAAAGATTAAGCATTGTAATGTCAGTACTGCAAATTGGTTGAGAAATAAATTGCAGTGGATTACAGGAAACATTGGATGACCAATACATAGTCAAGCTAGGGTGGTAGAATGATCTACCATCTACTATACTCCATTTTATTAGGATGCTGTCTGGAGAATGTAGCAAACAGTTCTAAAAATGTTCTTATTCCATTAATATATTCAGAGAAAAAATATAAGCTGATGGAGCCGCAGCCAATTCCTTCCAAGAGGTCCACTGAGACCTTTTAAGTATCGCCAGAAATGCAGAAGAAATATTCTATCCATCTTCCAAGATTTTCAAGTTTGCATGTTGTAACAGCAGCTGGAAACTCTGCTGATACATTTTCTGAACAAATCTGACCAGGAGGTGGATTTTGGTTCAGATTAGATCCATGCGTGTGGTTGGATTTATTATTCCCTTTCAGTGCTATTGAGGGGATAAGTGGGAAAATTAAGTCACACAGAGCACCTGTATTTTTTGTTGCACCATGCGACAGAGAGAATGGTTTGCAAATACAATAACAAATTGCATTTTATATAGTGCCCATCACTCCTGGAGCGCTAATCAAATCGTAGTGGAAAAATGTGCCTTGGTTGTTCATTCTGAAGTATGGATGCTTTTGCTTTTTTTGCAAAAAACATGAAAAGGATTTCAGTTGAGAATTGTTATTGAGGCTTTTACCCAGACACTCTGTTGAAATAAATGCTGCCTAAAAGAGCTGATGATTTCAATGCTGGTGTTATCTTAAAAACAATGGTACAGTTTAAAAGTGTGTCATCCTTCCCTGTTGCTATGATCAATTGAGATTGTGCAGGTTGACGTTGAATGATTATCCTTTCACTTTGCTTTTACAGAAGAACTAAGAAAGTACAGCTGGTCGGGTATTCCAAGAGAGGTTCGTCCTGTTACATGGAGACTTTTATCGGTAAGCCAATATATTAGCTGCAATGTAATTATTAAGACGAGCTTTAAGGATCACTTCAATTTACGTAACTAATTTGCCTTCTCAGTGTGCAGACCTTTTAAGAATGGGCCAAAGTTAATAATAATAATAATAATGGGTCTCTTTCATATTAAATGAGGATTTTTTTCTCTCCCCATTATTGGCTAAGTGATGAATTGTATTTCGCACCTTATGAAACACCGCATTCTATCAATTGCAGTCGCTGGTTGAAGTTGAACTAGCCTACAGTGTTTCCCTCTCTGCTCCTTGATTTCCACCTTGACTCGTACATTATCGGTTTATTTACGAGTTTCTTCTGGAGTACTTCTCGCTTCCTGACCCTGTGTAGTCAAGGTCACATCAGCCACAGGCAGTGTAACCGTCATAAAATTCTTTTTTTAATCTTTGCGTTTTTCATCTCTGTTTTTTTGGTGCATTCTGTTTCAGTGGTTATTTATCTCACTGCTGGTGGACCTTACTTGGCTGTGTAAAGAACAGTCACTGGGTTTCAAAAGTTACTCAAAAGCTTTGTTAGGTGTTTCAGGGTGTTGTTTCAAATGCAAATTTGTTTTCTGAATGACAATAAGTTTTGTGAACAGTAAAGGGTGTAAATAGTCCTATCTATCCTGCTTAATCACATAGGTGACGTTTTAGTTGAGGGTTGGTATTATAAGCAGCATCAGGAAGTATAATCCCAAGAAGATTTAAAGTCTACAACTCTACGTTCAATGGGCTTACTTCCACTTGTGCTAGTTGTTGAACTAACTTCATACAATGAGATGGGAAGAGGGAAGCTACGTTATGTTATTCGTGCGTACCAGGATTCCAAGTGGTATTGACAAGGGCATAGAAGCTCAGCTCCAATGATCATTTTAGATGGAAAATACATTAAATATGCTGGGAAATTCCCACCTCCTGATAGTATTCCCTTGCCGTCTGTCCCGGGAGAGCAAGATAAAAAGCGAGAGAACATCAGTGAATCCCAGCTCTGGCAATAATCCACTTCTGATCTGTGAACTGAGTCTCACAAACAGATGGGGCAGCAAGTTCTGCTGAGTAGGAGAGAGAAGCCAGAAGGAGCCAACATTGTATTATTTATACCACAGACATAGGTGAAGGATCTGGCTGGATCACATCAAAACCTACCGCTCTGCTCTTTTAGCTATCTCTGAATCTTTGGTACCACAATTCCAGAAACTGAGAATGATAATGTTTATTATTCATGAATAATGGGGCTCCTTCATTTCAGCCTATTCAATCTGTTTACCAAGCAGAAATCAGGAAACCAGTTGTTAGTCGATTGGCGGATCACTTTTCTGTGGTAATAATCCCCTTTTTTAAAAAAAATCAATCAATCCACAGCTGTTTGTGGGACACTGCTGTGTGCAATTGGCTGCCACGTTTTGCCCACAAAATATACAGTCAATTCACTTTGCAGTATATTCTGTGAAGCGCTTTGGGACAACCCGAAGACTTACAGTAATAAGTCGCTATATCAAATGCAAGGATGATAATGATTATTATTATTACCTTGGTAGTTTGTTACCATGGTAGTTTACAAATCATTTCATGTCTATAAATGTTGTTCGAAATCTTTTGCTCTGAACATTTAATTATAAAGTGTATGTGTGTACATATAGATAATCATTAAAAGGTGCTTCAAAATTTTGATATAGAATCAGCTAATTTCCAATAGCAAAACGCCATAAACAATAATGAAACGAGTAGCCAATTAATCTGACTGTTTTTGGAGTGAATTTGGGCGAAGCAGGACTGTTAGCTAATAGCAGCTCCCGATTAGAATTTACAGCTGGACAGAATTGGCTTTGAAAAAAGAATGCATTTTCTCCATTCTCCTTTCCTCTGATTGCTTAGTGGTGAGCTGCCACCGGAGCTCTGGGATGGATGCAGCATGTTGGTAGACGTGATGTATCTTATTATTATTAGTTCCCTCACTTCATGATGGTGTTGTCAGCAGCAGAGATAAGTGGTGTTGCCCACAGCAGAGATAAGGCCATAGAAGCTCATCTTGTCTTGTTACGGTAGATTTCACTCCTGAGACACCTGAGGCATTATTGTGCCCTAGACTGCTATTCTCCGAGAGGCACAATGACCTCGAATGAGAAACCGGGAAAGAAAAGGTTACTCACTATGTGAAAGAACAGTCTGGTCGCTGTATAGTTTATACCTGAATCTGTCTGGGTAACCTAGAAAAATGGCTAAACATTTAGGTATTAAAATTTTCACCCACAGGGCAAGAGAATAGATTTTGGTTGCAATTATTTTGTCAGCATTAACTGTAAATTCCCTGCTTCCTTCCTGAGAGAAATCCACCACCATTATACCGGCTGCACGTTATTGTGTATTGTAGCTTTAGCATCACTAACTCACAATTCTATACGGCAGTCTGTAGACTGAATTGGTTTAATAATTACCTGAAAAATAGTGATTATGATATTTCAATACCCTGCAGGAGTGAAGGATTCTCATGGTTTCTCTGTACACAAATGTGTTGATTGACGTACCTTCCAGAGAAAAAAAANTCATATCTTTCATTTTGTGTTCATTTCATCTGAAAGCTCAGCTCCATACCTGTATAGATTGAAAATATAATGGTTAAAATAAACACAAACGACAACTGATGTAAGGCTGCACCTTTTACTTTGCGTTATGATCTTTATTTCATGAGCAGTACTAGAATTTCTAAATTTTACAGGTTGCTTGAGGAGTAAGTTGTTTGTTTTTTTTCCCCCCCCATTTATTCCTATTACTACTCAAAAGTTATTATGTAAACTTTACGTGGAGAAAATTAATTCTAGATGGCACTTGAAATTGGCCACATAGAATTTGACATCAATTTGTTTGTTTGTGCTTCGAATTTGATGGTATCCTGATCTGTAAGTGTAATTGTTTATCCCTCAATGTAACAATAAAAAAATCCTAGCATTTGATATAGTAAGGTACCACATCCTAGCATTTGTATAGCAAGATCTCAACCACGAGCAGAGGTTGGGATCAGCAGGGGTGTAGGGTCGAGAGGGTAGGGGTAGGAGGGTGGCCGAATGCGCAGTTGAAGAGGACGGTCTTGAGACATGCCTTGAAGGAGGCAAGGGAGGGAGCAAAGCGAAGGGACTGTGGAATGCTTCAAAGTACTTCAAATACATAGTCACTACACCTTCCAGGAAATCCAGTGAAATCACATGTGGTAGCTAATGTGCTCAATGCAATGTCCCACAAACAGTTGTGAAATAAATGGCCATTTTTTAAAATCTGGGGATTGTTGGTCAGGATACCAGGAGTGCCTTACCTGCCTTCTCGTGTCGAGTGGAGCCAATTGATTTTTAATGTCTACCTGAACAGGCAGACAGGACCGAGGTTTAATATATCATCCAAAGGTCAGCACCGCTTCCTCGAGGACTGCACTGAAGACCGTAGACTCTACTCGATGGCACAAAGTAGAGGTTGAACGCACATCCTTCTGATTTAGAGGAAAGATTGATGCCAGCTGAGCCAGGGTGCACCTGTGTGGCACTGCTGTGTTCCAATTATTGAGAAATTTAGAGCTACAATCTCTTACTGGGTGTTATATTTGTCAGTAATGTTGTTATAGCCTTCTACTGAAATGTTACTGTTTGAATTGTTTTGTTAATTTGAACACTAGAGGTCCCTGTGGAACAACCTGTACAGTATTCATTATTGTGGGGGTTTGGTGGGGGAGACCATTACTTTCTTAAATTGTTCCAATCTTCTGTGAATTTAAATGCAACATTTGAGTTAGAATGTGTGCGAGCCAAATTGGTTCAAGGGAGACTCGGACACTATTGAGGGAGGAAAATAGATAATAATAATAATCCCAATAATCCTTACATTTGATATAGCGCCTTATCACGTTTTTGAGATGTCTCAAAGCACTTAACAAAATATACTGTAAAGTGAATTGACTGTATATTTTGGGGTGAAAGATTGTGGATTGTCATGGGCACAATGTTTGTGGAGGCTACTTCCCTGTTGGTGGTAAATTAGGTAAACTTCATTCCCTTTTGCTCTTGTCTTTTAGATGCCCTGGTGAGGCAGGAGAATGGGAGACTTCTCTGTGCTTCGTTTGTGATTTCTTAAGAGGAGTTGCAGTTTTGTGAGTGTGGGATTGATCCTCTTAGATCATTCATTCTTGGCCTCCTCAAAAACCTCTCACCCAATTTCTGCACTATTGACATTTGAAGGATCAAATTCCATGTTACGGTTGGAAATTGAGACATCTAAACAAAGTTTTATTCACTTACTTGAATAATATTCTTGAGCACATTTTTACTTGCTCCGAAGTGCTTGCTTATATAACTAGCCTCTGCCCTTTTAAAGTAGTTGATCAGCCTTATGCATCAGAAACCCTACGTAATGGGAATGAGTAAGAACCAAATGTATTGGTTCTTTTCAGTTTCTACATTTTGATGACCAGTTACACAAAGGAACCACGATTTTTGTTTGGAAACCGAGTCCCTGATCCATCTGTAGTATGGTGATTTTATTCTTACTCATTCCCATTACGTGGAGTTGCTGATGCAGATCTAGCACATAAATGTATCACTGTAAGTAAAGTATAAATGTATAAATGTTTCACCGATGACTCATTATTTTAGTCTCCAGCATGTTTAGAATTGTCGATTCCGTGATATTTTTTCGTACCTAAAAATTGTGGTGCAACCTTGTTATCCTTTAATGGCACCTTTGTATGTATATTCAGAGAATATCTTTAAAATAGTTAAGCGCTTGTCTGCAGAACAAACAACAACAAAAAATTACATTTGTATAGCGCCCCATATGTCGGGAGAACATCCCAGGGCGCTGGACAGTCAGAGATTTGGACCCGAGCAGGGGTTTGGGATCAGCAGGGATGGAAGGCAGGAAGGGTAGGGGTAGGAGGGTGACCAAAGGCACGGTCGAAGAGGAAAGTCTTGAGACATATCTTGAAGGAGGCAACGGAGGGA